AGCTCTCTATCTCTCTCCCTTTCTCTCTGTTAAAAATCAATAAAATATATTTTTTTTTAAAAAAAGAATTTACTCATTTATTCAATGACAATCGTGTCATCATCTTCTGGAACATCATAACAATCCAATTCCTGAATTTCCTGGTGAATTTCTTGTGACTCCATTTCTTTCAGAATCAGTGGACCAAATCTCTCATGTTTAGCCTGGGGGGAGGGGGGCTATTTTGGGGGGGATGCCTTGTATTTCACTCAGGAAGAAACCTGTAAGCAGGTCTTATTTTCGGAGGATGTCTTGTTTTCGGGGAAACACGGTAGTAATTCCTTTAAGATGTCTGTGAGAGGTACCTATAACAACTAGGTGAGCCCTAATCCAATATAACCGGTGTTCTCAGAAGAAGAGAATATTAGAACATAGACACACAGAGAAGGCACAGGAAAAGATAGCTGTGTGTGTGATAAGGAGAGAGGCTTCAGAAGAAACCAGCCTTGCCAACAAAATTGATCTTACTTCCTGCCTTCAGAACTCTGGAACAATGAATTTCTGTTGTTGCAGCCGCACAGACTGTGCTACTGTGCCATGGCCGCCTTAGAAGACTAATGCAGGTGCTAACTGTCAGGCATTTGTCTCTGAAGCCAGACCAAGGAGGAATTCTTCGGTATGGTTCTCCAACAAAGCAAAACAAATCAGTCCCAGATGATTTCCAGTTATTCAAGTCTGTGAATAACCAGAATAAAGCAGGAATTTGTTCACACTTGGATTAGATCTGAACTTTCAAAAAAAAATTCTAAACCTTACCCAAAATAAGTTTGGATCTGTGCCTTACGTTATATTCAAAAGGGAACTCACCATAACGACCTAACTGTAAAAAGTAAAAGGCTAATAAAGCAAAATGTAGAAGGAAGTCAGTTTTTCAGCCTATGAGAGGATACAGGCTTTTGAACATGAAGCTAAATCTTGAAATCGCTATGTCAAAATTGAAGACGTGTGGTTCCACCATGTGCTGGTGTTTCTGGGGAAACAATTCAGCCCTTAGGCTTTGGGAAAAGGACAGTGTGCTCCCCTGAGCCAGGGGGAGCTGGCTTACAGAGACAGGAGTCCCCATCCTTGGTCCTTGATTGGTCCATCTTCATGTAAATGAGGACTCTAAATCCTCAAGGTTGGATGGGTCCAAAAGGCGCTATCTAATGGGTCAGAGCTGCCCAGCTCCCATTGGACTGGGAAAACCTCAGTCCTGCTGGTTGACATAGGATTCCAGGAACTCCTTCACAAGGAATGGCTCAGATGGCAGAAACAGGTTGAAGCCGGCCTTTCGGTGCAAACGCAAATAGTTCGGTGCAGGCTTTTCCCTGAAGTGCACTTTGCCTGGGAACCCCGATGTAGACATAGCTGCTAGGTCTGTCTGTTTTGTTTCATTTTTTTAAAATATATTTTAAAAGAGAGGAAGGGAGAGAGATAGAGAGTTAGAAACATCGATGAGAGAGTCATCAATCAGCTGCCTCTTGCACGCCCCCCATTGAGGATGTGCCCTCAACCAGGGTACATGCCCCTGACCGGAATCGAATCTGGGACCTTTCAGTCCGCAGGCTGGTGCTCTATCCACTGAGCCACACCGGTTTCGGCTGTTTTGTTTAATTTTTAATTTGAGATCAGTTGGTAACCAGAGCCCTTTGTTAACGAAAAAAAAAAACCATTGAAACCTGTAAAGAATTTTTTAATGAGTTTATTTGAGCCAAAACTGTCGACAATTGCCGGGAAGCAAAACCTCAATGGATTGAGATAATGCTCCCAAGAATGGCGGGTTACATTTCTCTGTTTATACACTGAAATCAAAGGAGGGACATAGGTGAGTTACATGAAATTCATTGGTGATGGAGTAAGGAGGCGGGAGAAAGCAAAGCGGTGGGAAACTCCTGGGACTGGATAAAAAGTAAAATGATGGATGTATACTCAAGTGAGTGCAGGAACAATTAACATGATAAAGAAGGAATTTGAGGCATCTATCCTGGTGTCCACCACATTTGGTTGTTCCCCAGGGGCTCCGGAAAAAGGGAAGTTACAAGTTACCCAGACATCTCACAGATATGTTATCTTAGAGGCAAAAAGGCAAATGGGCTCAGTAAAAAGATCAAAGTTGGTCTTTGTCTGGGAAAATATCTGGGACATGACTACCTACTATAACCTGTTAGATATTTAATTTTCAAACCATCTTTTGTGGTTATCTTAGGTCTCTGGGTTTGCAAGACTGCCACGCAGGCCTTCCCTGAGCTTGTCAGGTTAGCAGATGGCTTTTTTCTTTCACACCTTCTTAGTAGGTTCTTTATTTCTCAGGGTTCATAACGGATACCCCAGAAAAAAGTGAACAGACAGACTAGGGAAGATATCTGTAACATAAAGACAAAGGAGATTAATATCTAGACTATTCTCCCCCTCAAAAAAATCAAAACAAAATAAAAAATATGTAAATCAACAAGAAAATAATGCAGTACCCAATAGGAAAATGAGCAAAGGATATGAACAAGTAAATCTCAGTAAAAGGCCAGATATCAAAACAAGAATAAGGAGAAAAGCTCAACACCATTAGCAACAAAAATACTGTAAGTTTAAACATCAGTATTCCACGTTGTCTGTTAGAATTGCAAAAACCAGAACACTGGATAAGACCCAGTGTTGCAGAGAGCGTAGGAATGACAAAAGCTATCAGAGTCTGTTGCAGGGACTGTGAACGAGCCCATTAGTTCTGCAAAGCAGGATACCAAGAGGATACCTCTCTTACCATTCTTGGGAGGGTGTTTCCAGGAACCCTACAGACACCCAAATCTGCAGGAGTTCAAGTTCCCTGGGTAAAATGGTGCAGATCGATGCGTGCAGTTGACCCTTCGCATTTGCAGACACCCAACCGTGAAGCAAAAAATACTATTTTCATTCTGCTGCTGGTTGACTCTTTAAATACTAAACCCGGGGATACTGAGGGCTGACTGTATATGTATTGAGAAAAAAAAAAAAAATCCACATAGAAGTGGACCCAAGCAGTTCAAACCTTGCTGTTTAAAGATCAACTATATAAATTTAACATATTGCGGTGATTATCTTATGGAGGAGAGGAAAAGGGGGGGCGGGGGGAATAGGATTTAAGGGGGGAAAAATAAATTAGGGTCTTGCATGCACTGATGATGCTATACTAAAAATCAAGGAGCATAATTAGCCTACTTCTTTGCATCTGAGATTTAAAGACACACGCACACACCCTACCCCACCTCCCACCCCGACCCCAAATTACTCCTGAATTTATTTCAGCACAATATTCTACAAGCCACATCTGCAATGGGAAATGCTAGTAAGACTGTCTAATCTCATTAAGCCCTTCTGCTATCACTGTCCCAAATGGTTCACAACCAGGGGCAATCTGAGTTCTCCTCTCCCCCGAGGGGCATTTGTTGTTGGCAATGTGTTGCCACCTGGGAGAGGGGTGCTCCTGGCATCTACTGGACAGGGGCCAGGACACTGCTGCGCCCACCACACTGACCAAGCCACCTCCCCCCGCAAAGAAGCCGTGCTGAGGCTGAGAGCCTCAGGCGGGCGGTCTCTCTAAGTCACCCATTCGGAGGAGGCGGTTGGGAGGGGCTGACCAGATGCTCCTTCCTTCTCTCCCCTCTCACTCTGCCCACACTCCCCTCCATCAGCCCCTTCCACCCCCCTTTCATTTCCGCTCAAGCGCAGTCTGCTGAGTGTGATGCCTCCCTCCCGCCGGTAGTCACTGATCTACTTAAACATCACAGAGTCTACTTGCTCCAGTAAAGACTGTGAATGGAGTCAGCTGATCGTAAGCCTTTCCTAAGGAAAAGCAACTGCTAAAATGCCTCTCACTCCTTTTGCTTTTCTCTCTCATCAGTAGCTCCTACAGAGACCCATCTATTAGTAGAATTAGGACGAGGATCCAATTTAAGATCCACTGAGGGCTTCTTCTAAGTACGCATGACCTTGGCGAAGCAGATAAGTGTCCTAGGACCGTTAGGAAGAACAAACTAAACGGGGGTTGGGGGGCAAGGGGTGGGGGGGGGAGGTAGATTGTGATGGCAGCCACAGAGGGACAAGCTTATGCCACAGTGGGGGTGGGGGCACCGAGCTTCATCCATGTGGGGGCTGGGGCTAGGGCCCTTCCCTGAAGCAGGAGAGAGAAAGAGGAACAAAGAGAGAATCCTTCTGACTTTTCAGCGGAACTCCAAAGTCCTCTGAGCAGCAGAATGGGCCTAGCACAGGCCAGGTGAGACGTGAGTTTAAACGAGAGAGTAATTTTTCAGATAATGGAGACTACTAACCATTGAGATTGAATGCTGTGGATGTCCTGCCCTGTTGAATTTTTGTTTCTTTCCTTTCTTTCTTTCTTTTTTAGGGGCTTGAGTATACAGTATTATAGTCCAATGGAGGCTAAGGGTCAGACTGAAGTTTTCATGTATTTCCCTGACGTTTTTATCAATTACCTTGTCCCTAGGGGACTGCTGACATTCTGGCCCTTCAAAACACCTTGATTTTTGTCCTTAATGTTAATAGTAGTGATGGAGATTTTTTATCTTATTTTTGCTTTAAAAAGAGAAAGAGAGAGAGAGAGAGAGAGAGAGAGAGAGAGAGAGAGAGAGAGGGGGGGGGAGAGAGGGGGAGAAAGAGAGAAAAGAAAGAAAAGTTTGGAAAATCTCTAGAGAGGTATTATTCTCTCCAATTTTATTCAGTCCTAGGAGTAGGAATATGAATGTTTATTTCTCAATAAGGTCTTTTTTCTTCTCCAGATTTCTTTTTTTAATTCCTTATGAGTTATTTGGACTTAAATTGGTTTTCCTAAAAGTAAAAAAAAAAAAAAAGTCAAGAGAGAACAGAGGTAGGAAACATTGGGCCCAGTTGCACATTAAACTATGTCCTCGCTCCAGCTCCCCAGAAATGAAATAAATGATCCCTCCTCCTCCTTTAGAAATCAGCCTCCTGCCTCTTTAAGGAACTGACAGCGAGCAGGGGGCGGGCCTCCGGCGGGACCGAGGCTCCGATTGGCCCCTCGGGGCGGAAGTGCGCGGGGACCCCGCCGCGTCTGTTACGGTCCGCGGCCGCGGGGTGAGAGGCCGGGCCGCCCGGGGCGGGGCTTGTGGGCCCGGCGTGGCCGTTACTCCCATCGCGGCGGCGGACGGGGCGCGGGACGGGGTGCGGGACGGGGCGCCGGACCGGGAGCCGGACGGGGTGCAGGACGGGGCTCCTGCTTCGCGGTGGGTGCGGGGCGCTGGCGGCCGCGGCGGCCGGGCGGCCCCTCCTCGGGCCGGGGAGGCCGGGCTGGGCCGCGGGGCCGGGCCGGGGGGTGAGGCTCGGACCCGGGCCGCCGCGCCCGCGCCCCCCGCCCCTCACGGGCTCTCTCCCCCCGCCCCGCAGGCTGGCTGCCGGCGCCATGGCGCAGCGGGCCTTCCCGAACCCCTTCGCCGACTACAACAAGTCCCTGGCCGAAGGCTACTTCGACCCCGCCGGCCGGGTGAGTCCGCCCTGCCCGCGCCCGCCCCCGGGGAGGAGCTCCGGGCCTGCAGGGCATGCGCACCCCGAAAACACACACAGTGCGCTGGTGGCCACGGGAAACAGACCTTAAGTAACAACATGCATGTTACATTACACAGTCTGAGCCAAACCGGTGTGGCTCAGTGGATAGAGCGTCCGTCTGCGGACTGAAGGGTCCGGGGTTCGATTCCCGTCAAGGGCGTGTACGTTGGTTGCGGGCACATCCCTGGTAGGGGGTGTGCAGGAGGCAGCTGGTCGATGATTCTCTCTCATCGATGTTTCTGGCTCTCTATCCCTCTCTCTTCCGCTCTGTAAGAAATCAATAATACACACACACACACACACACACACACAATTTGAGCCCTAACATGTGGAATATCTATAAGGAATCGTTCACATTATTGAAGTAACCTCAGTCATTACTATTTTTTCATTCTAAAAAAACAGGCGGACATGCAGTGCGCCTTGTTATTTTTTATCTTTTTTATTTGCTTTTTAAAGTGAGGTGCACATCCTGGCCGTGTTCCACATGCGCCCCGTTAATTGAAGTAGTGGCAGGGTGGTGCTGACACTGGAAGATGTGGTAAAGACAGCTTCCCACGGGAAGTGCCAGGACAAATGTGGGACCTGGGCCTGACAGTCTTGGTACCATTTCCCCTCCGTAGAGGACATGCCCGCAGCTGAAACATACCAGTGAGTCACATTGGTTTGCAGTTCACAAAGGCCGGTGCGGAGAGAACCCGGATATGGGTACCAGAGGCCTGTGGTTTCTCTTTTGGGTGAAACCATTGTGAAGAGAGAATGGAGCTCTCTTTAAGAATACCTAGCCGAAACTGGCTCGGCTCAGTGGATAGAGCATCGGCTTGCGGACTGAAAGGTCCCAGCTTCTGTTGCGGTTGCGGTCACATCCCCAGTAGAGGCAGCTGATGGATGTTTCTGACTCTCTATCCCTCTCTCTCCCTCTCTGTAAAATATCAGTAAAATATATATTAAAAAGAAAATACCTAGTTGAGAAATCCTAAGAGGGAGTTAGATTGGATAAGTGCACACAATTTTTAAAAATGTTTACCGGTTTCTTCTAAACTCAGTCTTTTGAGAGCATTTCACATGTGGTACAATGGCCTTAGATTTGTCATATCTGTCAGGTTAACTTTATGTGACTTTGTCGCTTTGTTCCTTAAAGCACTCATCCGTGTAGATAAACTTGGGCCAGCGATGCTGGGAGGAGGGAGGTCACAGATGGACAGGAGGTGTAGGATAGAAGGTATAGGATATTTAATTGATTTCAGAGAGGAAAGAAGAGGGAGAGAAGGAAACATCAATGATGAGAGAGAATTATTGATTGGCTGCCTCTTGCATGTCCCCCACTGGGTATCGAGCCCAAAACCCGGGCATCAAACCTGGGACCCTTCAGTCTACAGGCCAATGCTCTATCCACTGGGCCAAACCAGCTACGGCAATCTGATTCTTTTAAGACCAGAACTGAGCTGCCCAAACAAAGCTGCTTATAATTATCATATAACTATATGAGGTAGACGGCGTCCTTTGGGCCTTTTGGCCCTGCGTTCTGCCTCGCTCTGCAGATCCTGAAGCTGAAGCACTCGTCTCGTCTTGTTGGAGGAGCACATGCTGCTTCATGACCACTTGGCAAAGAGAACACTGGAGGAGATACCTAATGACACCAGCCTTCAGGAACATGCACCTCGCTACTTAGGCTACTTATAAATTATGTGCTTTTTCTCCCTTGTTTCTAAGGGAGAAAAAAATATTTAAACTCAGGTCCAAAGATAGCAATGTAATTTATTACATAACACATGGTTTTTGGACAAATCCCTGAAAGAAACTAGCATACAGGTTCTAAAAGGGTTTAACATGAACACCAAGGATGAGATCCTGGAGATCTGTTCCCCTTATTTTGTTAACATACACGTTAATAAGGAACTGCTCTGTCTTCCGGCATCTATCAGGAAAATGGGAGGGGATTTTAGAGACTCTTCAAATATTGGTAGAGTTTGAATAATTTTGTGGTCTGCCCCAAGTAATCAGTATTCTCAGGCAGGTAGGTCCCCTTTATTAAGAGCGGTTATGTGCCAAATAGAAAGTAACTTCCCTTCCTGAGGCATTCTTGTTATTCGTGGTCCTTTAAGGCCAAGAAAGATGATCAATTATCCATGATCAGAAGATTACATGTTCTCATGTAGACACACTCTTCTATCTAGTAGAGATTTATAGAGCTTTCATATTGATATTGAAGTCTATTTTATCTTACTAAATGTGTTTTCAAGACTTATGGAAATCTTAACCTCTTGGCAGAAATTGTTAAGTAATGGGAGTGTGTCCTTCACACAATGTGGTTTCTTCAGTGTGAAATAAGGAATCATCGAGGTGCTTCGGAATAAATAATCCAGAGGTGGTTAATAGTCTGATTTGCCTTAACAGAGATGATCTTCAGAAGTAAAACTTAATATCTTATTATTAATAACTAGTGGCCCTGGTGCACAAAATTCATGCACAGGAGGTGTGTCCCTCAGCCCAGCCTGCACCCTCTCCAATCTCGGACCCCTTGGGGGATATCCAACTGCTGGTTTAGGCCGCAGGGATAGGGCCTAAACAGGCAGTTTGATATCCCCATTACAATCTGGGACCGCTGGCTTCTAACCACTCACCTGCCTGCCTGCCTGATCGCCTCCTAACTGCTCCCCTGCCAGTCTGATCACCCCCAACTGCCCTCCACTGCTGGCCTGATCACCCCTATGGCTTTTATTAATATAGATTCTATATAGCCTTTTTTCACTATGTCCTTTTTAGAAAATGAGATGATGATGCCAACAGGTAGTAGTTAGGTTTGTTTTTACAACTCTTACATGATGAAATAAAATGTATCTTGTAATGTTCCCCAATATTGTTTGGAAATTTGACTGCTTTGTGAAATACAAGTCTAGGAATTAGAGTCCTTAAATTATTAAAGTGACCTTTTAAGATAATTCATGACTCAGTGTATACAGAACTTTTGAAATACTTTTCTGTTGCATTTAGGACAGATAACATAATGATCATGTGGGTCTCACGGTTTGCCCAGCATCTGTGGGTCTGTCTTCATGTGGATGTCAATAACCCCAAAGCCTCACCCTTAGTGAGCTTCAATCCACCTGCAAATTATTACTTATTATAGACCGTGAACTGTTAAAAGATGCTTATTTTTATAAATGGATTTTTATAAATGTTTATCCTCATTTTTAGAATACAAAACCAATTTCTGTAGAGAATTAACTTTGGTGCAGCTTAAATACCAAAAATCCAGTGTCTTGAAAACAGCAAACATCTTCTGATTTGTGGTTAATTTGATAAAATGATGTTTATTATAATAAAAGTATTGGTTTCACTAATAGACGATCTCTACTAGATGGAAATTACTGTGATCCAGTTTACCTTTGGTCTGTTCAGCATTTAGTTAAAACTTTTATGTAAAACACTGAAGTCACAGCGAGAATACAGTCCACTCTTGAGCAGTGCGGAGGTTAGTGACACGACCTCCGGAAAGTCAGAAGTGGGAGTGTGACTGCAATGGCCCTCTGCATACTCCATTCCCAACCTCGAGTTGCCCCTTGAACAACACAAGTTTGATCTGCACAGTCAAGTGAAAAAAACACGTAACGGTGGATCTGCACAGTTCAAACCTGTGTGTTCAAGGATCAACTATATTTCCTGCCTTGAGTAGTACTTACAAGTTTTGTTTCTTCATTGTTGTTTAAAAATAAAATATAGTAAGTCCTACCTGTGACTTTTTTTTTTTTTTAATATATTTGATTGAAATTTTACAGAGAGGAAGGGAGAGAGATAGAGAGCTAGAAACGTCGATGAGAGAGAAGCATCGACCAGCTGCCTCTTGCACACCCCCTACTGGGGATGTGCCCGCAACCAAGGTACATGCCCTTGACGGGAATCGAACCCGGGACCTTTCAGTCCCCAAGCCGACGCTCTATCGATTGAGCCAAACCGGTTTCGGCCTACCTGTGACTTTAAGCAAACCAATATATAAGGAAACCAGAGGCTCAGTGATGTAAACGGGTTAAATCGCTACAGCATATTTCTGGTCTCAAAAACATCACCAAACTTCTAAATAAAGACCCAAACCACTTCTAATACTAAACACTGAAATAATTGTGAAAAGTCTGATGATTCTTCTCCAACCCACTTAATCAGGTTCAAAGTCAGGAGCCTCTCCTGGCAGCTCAGGGCGCAGAGCAGGAACCCACCCTGGACAGGAAGCCCTTCCGTCACACACACACACACACACACACACACACGCACACACGCACACACACACGGGGACAATGCATATGTCACTTCCTTCACATGCACATCTTTGGGATGTGGGAGGAAACAGGAGTTTCCAGAGAAAATAGACTGTGGACCTTGCAGGAATCGATTTTTTTTTTCCCCCTTATCAATGTTCTAATGAAATAACATTGAATGATGACCTGTTGTAATTGCCGAGTTCTCCCAGGCAGAAAAATGTGGCCTTCGTGGAAATAAAGTACTGTCCTGTTTTTGATAGGTATAGTCCAAGAAGTCAGGTGCCCATTTATTTTGATGTTTGTTTTCCTCTTCATATCTACAGCTGACTCCTGAGTTCTCACAGCGCTTGAACAATAAGATTCGAGAGCTTCTGCAGCAAATGGAGAGGGGCCTGAAGTCAGCAGACCGTCGGGATGGCACTGCTTACACTGGCTGGACAGGTATGAAGTGCTGACTGGGCTGGTGTACGCATTGCAAGAGGGAGCCAAAGCATTACCTTTGTAGAGCAGTCAGACTCAGTGCCCCTAAGAGCTTCCTGCATCTGCATATGAATGGCCGCTGTGCTCTCGGCGGGCCTTGGTATGCTGTGGTCTTCACAGTGCTCTGAACGTAGGACAGGGTATGCACATTCCTGGAATTCAGGCCTGCCACAAAAGCAGCTGGCTGCTGAACTTGTGAAGAGAAAAATTGATGTTCAGCATTACATGGTTAATTTGGAGACACAATACAGTGTGTGAAGTGGAGGTAAGGAGAATTTATCTAAAGCAAGTAAAACATGTTCAGAAGCACTTTCATAAAAATTGCCACATAACCATACAAAACACAGGGTAAAGCATAGATTCCGTGGACAAATCCTTCCATATAGTCTTGGCTTCTTGGTTTGCTTTCATGGATTTACCCATCATTGAGAGGTTGGAGAAAATTTGGGAAGGAATGGCACATAGGTAACAAAAGGTAAGAGAGAGAAACCAAAGCAGGAAAGTTGAAGAACTGCAATTAGTCCACTAATGTGTAGAAACAGAAAGACTGTTTTATATTCTTGAAGAAAGCACAGTTCTATGACTCACCATTTCCATTATTCATATACCATATATATAATCTTTCAGGGACATTGAAGGTCATCCTATATAATAAAAGACTAATATGCAAAATGACCCAATGGTGGAACTGCTGTGTGCTCATTGACCACCAGGGGTCAGACACTCGATGTAGGAGCTGCCCCCTGGTGGTCAGTGCGCTCCCATAGGGGGAGCACTGCTCAGCCAGGTCCTGGGCTCATGGCAGCAGGACATCCCCCAAGGGCTCCCAGGCTGAGAGGCCGCAGTCCAGGCTAAGGGACCTCCCCCTCCAAATGCACAAATTTCATGCACCGAGCCTCTAGTATCTTATAAAATAAGAGGAATTCATAGGCCCTCCTTCCTCTTACAGTTTTGTTTTATGATTTTTATGACTTTTATGGATTTTAGAAACTTAACACAAAAAAATGTTAAGATGAGAATAAAATGAAAGTATTGCTTCAAAATGGAGGTTATAACAGTTGTCATTTATTTAGTATCTGTTGTGTTGTAGGTATACTGTAATTGGTAGTTAATCTCATTAATAAACACTACTTACGCATTTTAAATTTTGAGGATTTACAAAACAGGGCAAGTATAATGCAGTGGTTGAGCATTAACAAATGATTACTCTACATTAATATTCAAAAACAAGAATTTAGTACTTTAATAATAAAATATAATGAATAAATTTAGGTTCCCAAAGGAATGAGGATCATCAATATGCAGTTTGTGATCATTTGAATGTTGAAGGACAAGAGTAAAGATTAAAATACGATTCTTGTTAACAAAATGTTACTAGAATTGACATTTGAATGACAGAAGCCAGAGAGTGTGAACATGTATGCCAATAACTAACGTTACAGGCCAGGCACCATCTAAGTGCTTTTCATTAATTAACTAACTTAAGTCTCAGAAGAACTCCATGGCATGGATACTATTCATAGCCCCATTTCACAGATGAGAAAAGTGAAGCAGAGCAAGACTGAATATCTGTTCATGGTTACAAAGCCAGTGAATGACAAAGCGAGGATTAAGCCCAGCAAGCCTGGCTTCAGAGCTCCTGCTCTTTACCAAGAGAGGTGTATACAGAGAGAATACAAATGAGCGTGTGTGTGTGTGTGTGTGTGTGTTTACTCCACTTTTACATTTGAGTTTACAGCACTTTATTAGTGAAGATCTACATAAAAAGCTCTCATATGAAGTAATTTAAGCAATCACAACACAATGATACTCAAGTGTACACACTTTTTAGAAGTGGCTAATGACCAGTCAATTTTAAGTGTTATAGAAAAGCCCTGATAAAACATTATATGAATTTGGAAAGAAAGGAATTTGGAAATAGCTTGTTAGACAGACAAGCGTACTTCCTATTTAAAAGTCTGTAGGAGAAAGTTATTAGGGATCGGACATAAAGTAAACCCTGGAAGAATTGTGGGCATTTGCAGCTGGAAGAATGAGATCTCCATTGTGGTTCAATAGACTGTGTTTTCCTTCCTAATTCTGAATTAACATATTAGCATGGTTTTTGGATAGAAAATTAACTGGGCCAAAACGGGAGCTTTTCCTTGCAATTGCTAGTATTTGAAAAGGCTTACTGAGGATCTTACGTGAAATATCACCCAAGTCTGAAATCAAACTTGCAATAAACATCTTTAGTTCTGATCACCAAAAGCCTCCTTTATAAAATTTGTACATTGAACTGTAATGCATCATGATATATTTTTTTAAATATATTTTATTGATTTTTTATAGAGAGGAAGAGAGAGGGATAAAGAAACATCAATGAGAAAGAAACATCCATTAGCTGCCTCTTGCACATCCCCTACCAGGGATGTGCCGGCAACCAAGGCACATGTCCCTGACCGGAATCGAACCTGGGACCCCTCAGTCCGCAGGCCGACACTCTATTCACTGAGCCAAACCAGTTTCGGCAGCATCATGATATTTTTATATGACATATGCCAGCAGTAAACATTTTGTTCATTTTTAGCCTTACTCCTTTTCTGGTAGATTATCAGGAGTTCTTTTAGTACATGCTCCCAGTTTTGGGAGCAAGGGAAGCATTTAGATTCTCTGGGTGCCTCATCAAGAACTATTCTATGGTATATCTGTGCACAGAACAGCAGACAGTGCAGAAACCTAGCAGGCAGGGAGGCCCCTGCAGGTCACGCCTGATGACCAGCTACGGAGTGGTCCGAGGTGGTGTCCAGGGGTCTGTGGGAATCACTCCAGAGCGTAACCCCCCTGCCTGAGGCTGCCCTGGGCTTTGTTCCAGCTCAGTTGTAGGTCCTAAGGGGCGAAGGCTTTAAAGTTCCTTATAGAGTGGAAAGCACAAAACACTGGTGAGGAATTGTTATTATAGGATTAAATGGGTAGATGAAGTATTCTTGTGTTAGAAATAAACATTGAGAATAAAAGATATCTTTCCTTTCAGGTAACTTGGTAAAAAGGTTAAGTAAACCCAAGGGATGGCTGATCTCACTAGTGTCTCTGAGAGAGAATGAGGGAAAGTGCTAGCCTTCATTTAATTTCATTTTTCTCTCTCTTAGCTGTGATGATTCCTAAGAGAAATGATAATCAACTCACACTTGGAGGGGAAAATGCACAAGGCTCCAGAGGATTCAGTTCTATAAGACATGACCGAATCTTCTGTAACCAACTCGCAGTGTTAATGAGGCTGAGATTGGCGTATAGTTCCTCTTTTCAAGTATTAGATAGCATTTTAAATAAGAGGATATGCAGCATGATCCCAGGAGTCATATTAACTTGCGCTCTAAATGTAAGTCATTAAAGTATTTTGAGATGCTGTTCCTCTGATCTGCCAAATGTACAGCTTTGAGCTACAGCTTTAGCATGTGGTCTTCGTCTCTGCCGATAGCAGGCTTATTTGAAAGGAATCGCTCTGGCCAGGTGTCTTTTCTGTGCAATTTGATCTCCTTTTAAGTCGCTCTTCATCAGAGCCAGCATTTCAGTGTGTAAGCTGAGCCCTGAACAAGTGTCCTTCACCTTCAGGAGAAGCCCCTGTGGCTCCCGGCAGGAGCTGGGAGGACAAGAAGGAGGACCCAGGGTGTGGATTTGCACTGGGTTCTTAGAGCCCTTCACAGCGACCTCTAGTTCGATAAGTGCACCGGGAGTGTCGCCTGCTCCCTTTCTGTCTGCGTGTACTATGGTTTGGTGTTATCTTAAACTGCTAAGACACAAGGCTGAAACAAGTGTAAGGGTAGGATACCACCAGTGTGCTGGGTGAGGCACAGAGAACAGGACTAGAAGAAATGGCAGGAAGGAAAGAACGAAGACATATCTAAGCAATTAGATTTTTACAGACCAGAGACGGGCTGTGTCTTGTCATTTTCATTCTAGTTACCGTACTTCAGACTTAACACAATGGGCTAGGCCCGTAGTTGGTGCTTAATAAATACATGTGTGTGTTTTTTTTGTTGGTTTTATTTGTTTGTTTGTTTGTTTTTTAAATATATTTTTATTGATTTTTTACGGAAAGGAAGGGAGAGAGATAGAGAGCTAGAAACGTCGATGAGAGAGAAACATCAACCAGCCGCCTCTTGCACACCCCCTCCCGGGGATGTGCCCGCAACCAATGTACATGCCCTTGACCGGAATCGAACCTGGGACCTTTCAGTCCGCATACCGATGCTCTACCACTGAGCCAAACCGATTTCGGCTAATAAATACTTATTGAATGGATGGGTGAATGGATGGATACGTTACAATTCTTGCTACCACTTATGCAAACTACAAACAGTACCTTAAAACTAGGTGGAATGGGGAAAGGATGGGAATTCACTGCAGTTCTTATATTGGTTGATCACATCTCTTTCCCTGCAATCTTAGCACACACATCAGAGCAACACTAACCAGCCATCTACCCAGCCAGGGCCCTGAGCTCCTGCTCTTCACAAGCACTGCACTGAAGGACTTATCAGTCACGGCAGTCTGAGTAAAAGACTAGGAGCGCTTCCTAATTTGACAGTTATGAAGCAGGGCACTGCAGGGCACTGAGAGGAGGAGGAAAACATGACTTCTTTTAAAAAAAACATTTTAATTGATATTAGAAAGGAAGGGGGGAAGGGGAGAGAGGGAGGGAGGGAGGAAGGGAGGGTGGGAGGGAGGGAGGGAGGGAGAGAGAGAGAGAGAGAGAGAGAAACATGTATCAGCTGCATCATGCATGCCCCCTTACCAGGATTCAAACCAGCGAGTTCTAAGTATATGGGACTACATTCAACCAACTGAGTCACACCGGCCTGGGCTATTTATTTTTTTAACCTCTCTTCTTATTGGACAGTCAACTCTGCAAATAGGTTCAGGAGAAAAGAAGACACATCTTCAGAGTGCTCGCTTCCCTCTTTAACTTCCAGTCCACTCCTTTCTTTGGAGCAACATTAAGTTAGGGCTGTGGACACCCAACTAGTTTCCTCCAGATTGCCCGTATTAAAAGTACTGGGAGGCCGAAACCAGTTTGGCTCAATGGATAGAGTGTCGGCCTGCAGACTGAAGGGTTCTGGGTTCGATTCCGGTCAAGGGCATGTACATTGGTTGCGGGCACATCCCCAGTAGGGGGTGTGGTAAGAGGCAGCTGATCGATGTCTCTCTCTCATCGATGTTTCTAACTCTCTCTTCCTCTCTGTAAAAAATCAATAAAGTATATTTAAAAAAATAAATAAATAAATAAAAGTACTGGGATATTTGACCAGCTAGCAGGGTCCACATACAGAGTGCTCTGCCCGGTAACTACAGCAACTGGGTGTGACAGCTATAATTTTGTCCAAGAAATGGAAACACATGCTCTCAAACACACAAAATTGAGAAACAGTTATAAAATAACACATTATAAAGTACTAACCTGAAATAGGACCAATGATCATATTGTATGGGATTAATCAGAGGAAATTTCATTTATATTTTCATAAATCTGAAAATAAATAAAAACATAGAAATTAATGAACATTTAAAGTTTCGACTAGTGAACCATTCATTTGAAACTTATAAAAACCCATCACCCCTCCTATAGGGAGTTAGTGTCTTCATGTCACTCAAACTGTAGTGACCCTTTACTGGGTGTTAGCTAGCACCTCTGGTAACTCCAGCTGTGTAGCCTGAACATGATTTCTCCTACCAGAGTCCATGAAGAGAGTCTTGAAAAGCCCCTGGCCTGAAAGGAAATGCCTTAAAGAGCTTAAGTACCATGGCAAAGATCTATACATCAGTGTGGACTGATTGCAGATAAATGAATAACATCTACTCATTTAGTCTGAATAATCTCTGAAATATCAATTACAGAGAAGTATTTACATCTGTGGAGTTGTTTTTTATCATCTCTATATACGTTTGAGAGTACCAGGTCTTGATTGGTCAAGATGAATGGAACTAATGATCCCTCAGAAATTCAAAGGCTTAGTATTAATTACTTCTCAACAGCTGGCTATATTTATAGTCCTACTGGAGTAAATAGCTGAGTGAGGAAATTGCAGATTTAGAAGTGTCCCTAAGCAGTTTACCCTCCCTTCCCAGAGAAGTAGCTACAGAAGGAAACAGAAGAGAAAAATCTAGGTCATTTCCATACAGAATTCCAGAATGGTTTTCTATTAGCGCAAAACTTTATTAGGTCTTCACTGTACATATTGTTTTCTTTCAAGTTGTTGTCAACATGTCCCAGAGAAGAGGTTTCTAGGAGGGACTGAGAGGCAGTGTCTGGCTTCCTGAGCTGCTCATGCAGAATAGCATCTCCCTCTGTTCAGCACAGTGCCATGCTCAGGCCTTCCCGTGGGGATGGAAAGGTTACTTCGCCGTACACAGACAGCCACTAGCCACAGGGCTTTTGAGCATTTGCTATGTGGTTAGTGTGACTGAAACAAAGAATTTTAAATGTTTACTTTTAATGAAGTTTCTGTGAAGGTGAGCATGTTGGACGCCACAGTTCTGAGCAACCAAACGGCTCCAGGAGCCTAAGATCAAAATAATAAATGTCTGGGTTTCTTGTGGCTTCTCAAGACCACAAAGGAGGTGGGAAGCACAGTTTTTCAATCAAACACAATTCCCACTGCATTGGATCAATGAGTCTCGTACTCTGGCTGCGCTGGGTCAACACATTCCCCTCACATTTGGAGGACATTTGTCCAACCTCATTCCTGAACTCTAAGCTCATATATCCAGCTGCCTGCTTGACCTGTCTATTTGGATATCTCCCTCTCAGGCTTTCCCCACCAGGTTCCATTGATTTTACCTTCCGGAGAGACTGTGTGGTTTACCTTCTGCCTCACCAGCTTCAAAAAGAGCTCTGTTCTTTAGCGTAAGGCTTATCGGCGTGTGGGGATACACCTGAAGTAACAGTGGCTTTTGTATATAGGCAGTCCAGGACAGCTCATAGTCATTCAGATTTAAGCTTCTTTGATATTGGTGCTTTCCCATCCTCATCACAGAACTGCTACTCCAGTCTAACATGGCTGCTCTAGCTACGTACACCATAACAGGTGTATTCCAGCCAGGAGGAAGGAAATTTCAAGAACATTGTCTGAAATTACCCCCATTACTCCCACTATGTCTCATTTGGTCAGAACTTAGTCACATGGCCATACCCAGCTGCAAAGAAGACTGTTAGTGCCTAGCTAGAGTTCAGGGCATCGTTGTTGAAGGAAAAGGGAGGTACATTTGGGGGGAGGGGGGGGCCACTTAGCAGTCTCTATCATGCTCTCATCTTTCAAAATGGATTGTGAGTCAAAATGTTTGATACAGAGAAATGATGTGATAGGCACATACGCATATTATTATTAGAAATATGGAGGCAGGTGTTAGAGGAAATGACTAATATTTAAAGTGATTGCCTCTAGGAGACAGGAGTAGAGCAGGGCATGAGACTGCATATGTATAGTAGGCCAGGCAGTACTATTTAATTTCTTCCATAAAGAACATACTGTGTTTTGATAAATTTTATTAGAATAAAATTTAAAGCCTAGGCTGATTCCAGAACCGTGTGCATATAGAAGGACTGGATGAGTTTTTCCTACATGAATATTGTCAGTGGTTGGAAAATTGTAAGAATCATATTTAAGACATTTGGCCTCCGGAAGTTCCTCCATTATTTTCTGTTTGTTTTAATTTTTTTTAATGTATTGATTGATTTGAGAGAGAGAAACATTAATTTGTTGTTGCTCTTATTTATCCACTGATTGGTTGCTTCTTATATGTGCCCTGACCAGGATCAAACCCACAAAGTTGGCCTATCAAGACGATGCTTTAATCAACTCAGCTACACAACCAGGATTAAATTAGGGCATCTGGGTATAAAATATTGATGAAGCATTGTCTTTGACTTAGGCATTTTATCTAATTTTTCTGACCTAGACTGAGTATAATAGGCTTGTCCCATACATTTTTCTAATAGGCCTCAGTACCCCCTCACTTGAATCCCTTTTCATCCTTAGGTGTTTTGTGACAAGGAAGGTAGACACTGTAAATTGCAACCTGGATGAGATTGCTTAATAAGCGGACACTGAGGCCCAGAATGAGAAGGAGAGAAATAAAACCTGAAATCCCAGAGGCCCTCTCTGTTGGCAGAAAGAAAGAAAAAAAAAGAGAAAAAAAAAAAAAAAAATATATATATATATATATATATATATATATATATATATATATATATATATATATTATTTAAATGAAATATTGTGAGACTTGAGAAGTGATTACCCTCTTTTCCTGAGAAATATAGCAAACTTTACGATTGCAAAACTTCACGGGCTTTGTTTGTTAAATACTTAGGCCAAGAGGAATTGTTGATAATGAGAGAAAGGTCTGTAAAGGAAAGCAATCATTGGGCTTGTATTTAATCACTTTTTATTTTCTCAGATCTCAGTCATGTCATTAGCTGGCTTTGGCGCTTACATAACTTAATTAAGGGAGTTCAGGCAGCGGCGGGAATAGGAGGGCAGAATGAAAGGGTAACAATTTAAACAGATTGCCTGCAGATGCCTGGTGTGGATGAGATGAAGCCCATTAAGAACCTAATTCTAGAAGAAGCTCTTGACATTGATCATTTGTGAAAAGGAGATTTCTTTTCTTACCCACATATGGGGTTTTGCACACTTACATCTATAAACCTTAAGCATTGGTACATCTGATCATCTCGGCTTGTGGAATTACTAATGCCAAGCCACTTTGAAAGAGCAGACAATGTTATTAACTTTGGCAGGAAATGAAAATTTGGTCTTAATATACATGTGAAATTGAATTGTCTGTAGCACAAAGCTTTGGAGATTACCCATGCAAAATGAGAAAACTACCTAAATTTAAAATTGTCTCAGTACAGTGAAAAGTAATTTTGCAGACTGCATTTTTACTGCATTGAAAATTTGTGGAGAGATTGGCTCTATTAATTTAGATTTAAACAGAGGCTCTCTATCTTTTAAAAATGGTAAATGAGATGGAAAATGTACTTTGAGGAGAACAATGAGTTTCTAGAAATGCGGAAGGCACGCTCCCTGCACCACATCTTTGAGTCTGCCCTGAGACAGGAGCCTTCAGAGGGAGGCCTCTGCTGTGACAGGTATTGGAACAGGGACATACAGACAACAGCTCAATTACACACAGGGCTTCCAGACTGGGACAGGCAGCCAATTAAGGCCCAAAGCTAAAGTCATTGGCAGCTTTTACAACATAGTTCCTAAAGAAGCTGGTTTCTCAACTGAGAGAAAAAAATACAGAGGAACTTAATTCATTTCTCAATTCACTTAGTTTTCTTATAACCTCTGCCTGGAATGATACTTGGGTAGGGAATTTGATTACCACCTTCTCATAAATAAAAAAAATAAATAAAAATCTTATATCTATAAGAGAAATTGAATTTTCATTCCCTAGGCTTCGAGTTTCTTTAGCTCACATGAACAAACATTTCTTGTTTATTAAGTAAATTATTATTTGTTAAATAAGTGACTGTTTATTTGGAACCATAATTTTGATAACCTATCATTTAACCATCAAGAATACATTAATACAATAGCTAGAGTGCAACAAAGATTAATAATAAACTTCGATTTAGAGTTCTTAGAGAGTCTTAGAGTTCCTATTATTTAGAGTTATGATGATGAGGAAACTTAGAACACTGAAGTGTTTGCTGTGTCTGCTTCTTAGGGCTGCTTGGTAATAAAGCTGAGTCTAGAACTAAGGTCGTCTGAACACCCGGGCAGTTTACATATTTATTACAGCTTGTCAAAATCAGCACTGCTGAGTAGGCAGCACACCAAATAATACAGCCAGCTGCCCTTTTCTCACTTTGACATTGTGCTCCTTTCGCTTTTCAGGTATTGCTGTGCTTTACCTACATCTCTATGAAGTGTTCGGGGACCCTGCCTACCTCCAGATGGCACACAGCTACGTAAAGCAAAGTCTCAACTGTCTGTCCAAGCGCTCCATCACCTTCCTGTGTGGGGATGCTGGCCCGCTGGCGGTGGCCGCGGTGGTGTACTACAAGATGAACAATGAGAAGCAGGCAGATGATTGCATTGCCCGGTAATCATGGTTCTTTTAACGGATTGGTATCTACCTGTTATTATGCATTAATTCTACGCGTTATAAAAGAACATTTTAGTGAATTTTACTTTCCTCTCGGCAACAAAGCTTAGTACTGTCATTTGATCAATTCTTACATTTTTCTTATGTTATAGTTAAGGAGCAACCATTATCCCTATTTTATTGCAGAATATAATAACACTGACACATTCCAGGTCAAACATCAGTTTCAGTAACAATAATGATCAAAAGCCTACTTATATGATTACTAACCCAAGGTACTATCCAAGATCAATACTTGTAAAAACTGCACTTCACTTCCTGTGGTGGGTGAGAAAGGCCTCCTAAGGATATACAAACCGATGCAAAACTGCCTTTTTTAAGGACAAAAGATATGTAAATCCAGCCTTTTGTTTTTAATATAAGTCAGGGCAGCCCACGGAAGGTTGTGAATTATGAAGAATTACCAAACTTTTGTACTAATAATTTACAATTATTGCCTTACTAGAGTTTAATGGACACTTTCAGAATTCTGCTAAGAAATCTGACTGCTATGCAACTCTGCCCGCATGGCAGGTTCCCACTGAGCAGGCTGACAGACACACATTTCCAGCGAAGGTCTTATTGTTTTGTTTAGTTGTCTAATAGACTTTACTCTTTAGAGTAGTTTTCAATTCACAGCAAAATTGAGAGAAAGGTATATAAATTCCCCAATGCCGCCTGTCCCCACGCATGCACAGCCTCCCCCACTATCAGCATCCCCCACCAGAGAGGTGCCCTTACTATCGATGAACCCACACTGACACAGCATAACACTGAAATCCACAGTTTACATCACAGTTCCATCTTGGTGTTGTATGTTCTATGGGTTGGATAAATGTATAATGACATGTTTCCATCATTATAGTATCAATCATAGTAGTTTCACTGCTCTAAAAATCCTGTGCTCTGCCTATGCATTCCTCTTCCTTCTTCTCTAACTTCTGGCAACTTGGATGATAAATTCTTATCAAGATTCTGACACATTTATTGTTTACTATAAAAGTCCTACCTTTAATAATGTTCAGACACAACTAATGAATTTTAATGATGTGAATTCAAAACCAGAGAAGAATGGAATACTTACTTTATTACCCTAAACTATAAAGTATTGTTTTAAGAAGATACTCTGGCGGCAATACTTTATTTTAAAAGATTTATAAGGTATTTGCTACCTACTTTGAACTTGCCAAATGCAAAAGAGTTTGGCTACAAAATAATTGGAATGCTAATTATATATTGCCACCTAGTGGTGATGCAATGATGGCAAATAAAACTGTTTTCTAATTAGTGGTTCAAACATATTTTATTTAGGTGAAAACATCATTGGGGTTAATGCAATAATTGTTCTGAATAACTTCCATAATGCAGTGATCGGTTAAAAATTTCATGGTAATTTCTCTTTTTTAATAGATTTTTAATCTCCTTTGCAAAGTAAATCAAAAGCGCTTTATTATATCCAAACTCTATACAATTTGATACAGTTACATAAAAACTTGATAAATTCTTTTTTTTTTTTTTTTAATATATTTTATTGATTTTGTACAGAGAGGAAGGGAGAGATAGAGAGTTAGAAACATCGATGAGAGAGAATCATCGATCAGCTGCCTCTTGCACACCCCCTACTGGGGATATGCCCGCAACCAAGGTACATGCCCTTGACTGGAATCGAACCCGGGACCTTTCAGTCCCCAAGCCGACGCTCTATCCATTGAGCCAAACCGGTCCCGGCAAAACTTGATAAATTCTTATCAAGACTCTGACACATTTATTCTGTTTACTACAACAGGTGAATTCATATCTAGTAAACAGATTTTATTTTCTTAAGATCTCAGTGTTACTAAGCTGCCAGTTAAGACATTTAAAAAAAGAATTTTTATTAAATGTTTTTAAATTCTTTAAATATTAGGAGTGTGTGTGTATGATGATACTTAAGTAGAAAACAAAATGACCCATAATTCTACCTTCCAGATGACCATGTTGACATTAGAAAAAAAAAAAGTCAAGGAATTATAAGAAAATCAAAAGCAATCTCTTGCCACTGTGTCTCTGTATCTAAGATAACCACTATTCATCCCACTGAGTTTAATGCCTGTATTCATATAGAATAAAAAAAGTGCATGAGCCATTATTTGCATATTTGAACAGTTTGATTGAAATACACCCATTTGTTGAGACATAATACGGGAACATTTAACTCTGTCAATAACTGTAAGCAGCCATACTTTTCAAACCCCTTTCTTGCTGAGGAATAAGTTCACTTAAGGACCCTTTCATAACTTTTTCTGAGTCTGTTTCATAACTATTTCCCCCTTTTAGTCACTAGTATCATCTCATTCTGGTTATTAAAACATGTCTTCTTCACTTCAAATTGCGTGCTCCTCTTGTCAGACCACAGGCATATGGAAGTGGTGGGAGGCGTTGGGAGGGGAAGACGATGATTTTTTCCTTCGCTTGTACATTTCATTTTACAGAAATAGAAGTTGACTTAGTTCTTTCTCCAGGCAAAATCCCCGACTAGCCAGCAGGTCTTAGCTGCTCTGACCCCGGCTGGTCTCAGCTTGCCTCTAATGAAGAGCCATGGAGGCTCCAGGTGGCCTCGGCCCTCCTCCCGGGTTATTTCCTCTGAGTATCTGGTTTGACAGTTCCATTGTGAATGGAAGAAAAAGAATTCAGTTACGGGTTAATCTTTGAAACCTGACTACCACGGAGCTCTGGCCCAGCCCACTATTATTAATGTAAAATAACATACATATTATATTAACTATAACTGTATGTTAAAAGCTTTTAAAATATAAATGTGTGTTTTTTAAAGGTACCATTTTTGGTATGTACCACTACCTAATTCCTTTCGAATTATCTCAAGCATGTGTTTTTCTTCCCAGGCTAATTCACCTAAATACGGTGGACCCCCATGCTCCAAATGAATTGCTCTATGGACGAGTGGGCTACATCTATGCTCTTCTCTTTGTGAATAGGCACTTTGGAATAGAAAAGATTCCTCAGCGCCACATTCAGCAGGTACCAGGTTTTTGTGCTTTTTGGAGTCTTTTTTTAGGATTCCACTTTACCGTCTACCTAAACAATTGACTTTATTTCTCCAATTAAGACCTCCCAAGTAGCTGGTAGGTGTATCTTGAACTCTGGATGTCGGGCGTGATAAAAAACAAACTAACAGCTACATGTTGAGTTCTGTTGGAAACGCTGGGGAGAGAGACTCGGTAAGAAGTCCAGCCACGTGAGAGTTCAGAGGCCCTTTCCAAGAAGAGGGAGTTTCACCTTCCGGGTGCAGTGCCTCCTTTGGTGCCGGAGGAGTCACGCATTCCTTTGACAAGTGAATCCTTGTAAGCTGCAGTGAAAAGAGTTCAAGATCTTCCATACCCTCCCCTATCCGACAGAATACTGTCACACCCGCTCTGAGTGATGAATTCACTGCCCTTCCATGGCCTAAGTTGGTATCCATTCACTTCCCAGGATCTAATCTATTCACACAGGTCTGACCTCCACCAGCAGGGTTTTTACTTTAATTCTCCCATTATTTTGGTTGCTTTTTTCTCTGTAGGTTTGTGAAACAGTCTTAACATCTGGAGAAAACCTAGCTAGAAAGAGAAACTTCACAGCCAAGACTCCACTGATGTACGAGTGGTACCAAGAATATTATGTGGGGGCTGCTCACGGCCTGGCAGGGATTTACTACTTCCTGATGCAGGTAAGGGGATGGTGGTGACACTTTAACGTGTGCTTCCTGACGTGACTGTCAAGGTCAGAAGACAGGCGTTCCAGCTCCAGTTTTCATTCTGTCGACTCCTATATCACTCTCCTTGTAATTACCTGGTCTAAACCAGTGGTCGGCAAACTCATTAGTCAACAGAGCCAAATATGAACAGTACAACAATTGAAATTTATTTTGAGAGTCAAATTTTTAAAACTTAAACTTCATTTAGCGCCACTTCTTCAAAATAGACTCGCTTGGGCCATGATATTTTGTGGAAGAGCCACACTCAAGGGGCCAATTTGGCGACCACGGGCCTAAACCAACAAGAATAATATTTGCCAAGGTGCATTTCAAGTGAATAAATATAAAAGGCACTATGCCTTGAGATGATGTTTGCTTTGTGGATGACCATACTTGCCTAGGTCCATTTGTCTAGACTAAAGTGTTTTGACCGATTCTTTTTCTTATGTCACATTGTAAGGCACAACCCATTGAAACAAATTCCAGGAGTTAGGCCAAAATCAGTAGAAAACAGATGAGCATGTGTTGCTTAAGGCTCACTTAGAAAGCAAGGCCTTTCCGATGGGTTTTGTATAACCTACCTGAGAAATAGCTGAGTAGGCTATGCTCACCGTTCTTTAGATCAAACACTGTTGTGGGACATCAGCCAAAGTCACATAGACTAAGGACAAATAGAATTCACTGCAGCAGCATAATCGGAGGGGGAGGTCAGAAGGGACTTGTCATGGGAGCGTCATTCCTGGGGCTCACTTAGCTCTCTTTAAGGATAAATTGGCACTTGTGAATAAGAGTTTATGGCAATACAAAATTGATTTTTAATGGTAGCAGAGGTGTCCCCCTCACCTTCCCAAAGTACAGTGTAGCATAAAGGGAAGTGTTTCATCAATATGTTCAACATGAATGCTTAGACATACATACTACTAACTGGTTGAGTAGCTGGCTATAATAATGCAAAATCAATGTCAGACCTGCCTTCTCCCCATCACTAAACAATGACAATGATGCTGAAAAACTCAAGGTTATTATTGCTTTTAAATGCAAAGTCACACTTTGATGGTTAGTGGCAATAAGAGACCAACTATTGTATTTATTCTACACTTCTCAATTAAGAATTTTATAATTAGGGATTTCGACAGTTTAAACTTAAATTTCTTTATTTTCTGATAAATCCCCTCACTAGTGCTCTATTTCCAAAAATAAATATAACTCTTAAGAGTTTTCAGGAAAGGAGAGTTCATATCTTCTGAAGTTTCGAGGTGAGTTGAGTCACATGTGTCAGTGACTAAACAGTCACATGACCTTTCATTGAAGTAGGTCATCAGGAGCATCTGACCCTCTACCTTCTTTGCTCTGTAGTGAGAAATCTGGAAAGCCAGCTACTGAGTTTTCCATTGGCAGACTGTTATCTATTTTAAATTATTTCATTTTTGGTCCTATAAAAGTTCATTCCAGGAGGTGCCTATGAATCAGCATAAAGCAATATATGTTTTGGGCATTTTGGATAATTCCTGAAAATTTGAGGAGAATTCACTCATTCTACACTACCATTTTAAATTGAACTTGAATATTATAATATTCTTTGGATCAAGTGAATCTACACGTCCCTAAGGAGCCCAGTGCACGTTCAGTGTCTGAAAGCCTTGTCATCTGTGTGGCCTGATTCCCTGCCACCACAGCCTCCTGCCTGTGCTTCACGCCACTGCCCCCCTCATCCCCACAGATTCACCCCTGCCCGACAAAGACAGCACTTGGAATTTGTAATTTAAAGAAGTGAGCAGCACTTTGAATCAAAAAGATAAACTAAAAATTATATTAAAAAATGGAGGCTTATATGCTCTGTTTCAGTGTGTCCTATAAATCTGTACATTGTTGTATCAAAATCATCCTGCATAAGTATCAGTCCCAAAGGCTTTGCAGAAAGGCTTGGTCTAGAGCAGTGGTTCTCAACCTTCCTAATGCCGCGACCCTTTAATACAGTTCCTCATGTGGTGGTGACTCCCAACCATAAAATTATTTTCGTTGCTACATAGCTGTAATTTTGCTACTGTTAATGAATCGTAATGTAAATATCTGTGTTTTTCCGGTGGTCTTAGGTTCTACAGCAGTGATTCTCCCCTGTGGGTGGAGAACCACTAGCAGGCTTGCCTACAGTCACACAGCAGTTTGGAATCTAGATTCCAGGTCTCCTAACTTGTTCATACCCTTTTCCATTGGAAACATCTAAATGTAATAATGAAAGTTCGTCTTTGTTTGTGGATCTCTTTCTGGGCTTTAATGTATGCTGGAGGAATTAAAACTTAACACTCTCTCAACTACATATTATGTATATGTAGATAACAAAAATTGAAAAATAATATGGACATAAGGCCAAAGAGTTAACTGATAGCCTAGTTTAATATGTTCCAGTAGACGAAATAATTGGATGAAATTCAAAATTTCTTAACGACTTCCAATTCCTTCTGGTCGTTTTCTTTATGGCTTAAAACTCATTCCTAGGGCTCAGGAAGATTTGTTTGCTTCAGCAGAACTAATAATTCCCTTTCTCACTCTTAGCCCAGCCTTCAAGTGAGCAATGCCATGCTGCACAGCTTGGTCAAGCCCAGTGTAAACTACGTCTGCCAGCTGAAGTTTCCCTCGGGCAATTACCCTCCGTGCGTGGGCGACTCTCGGGACCTGCTGGTCCACTGGTGCCACGGTGCCCCCGGGGTCATCTACATGCTCATCCAGGCCCACAAGGTGTGTGAATTTCCTCCTCCCAGGAACGCACTGGAAAATATAGCATAAAGTTCTAAAATTTTAAATTAATGTTATGCGTAATCCTTAAAGGAGCAATAGTACATCACTTGTCAGACTCGCTGTTTGCTAAGTGGATTATAACCGTTCTCACAGTGTCTGTCTGCACCAGGCAGACACTGTTTCACGGCGCAGGAGTCTGCTTCCCTGACAGCTAGAGGAGCCAAGATTGTAGCCTCAGTTGCAGAGCCGTGATGAGTCCCAGGAACTCGATGAGAAAAATAGAACGAATCCGCCTCACACGGAGCTGGTGGGAATGGAGAATGGTAGTTCCTCAAAAAATTCAGCTTAGACTTAACATATGACCCAGCAATTCCACTCCTATGTATTTAAAATCAAGGATCCAAACACACTGGTATGCCACGTTCCGCAGCAGCATTATTCACAACAGCCAAAAGGTGGAAATAATTCCAAGTGCCCGTCAGAGATGGATGGACAAAATGTGGTATCTGCCTACAGCAGAACAGTGTTCAGCCATGCAGTAGAGTGAACTTCTGATCTAAACTAGAGCGTGCATCCATGAACATTGAAAACATTATAAATTACAAATCCACAGACAGGCATTTCATAATCTAAATAAGCTTTAGTATATCAAATTTTACTTTTAGAAACTTGGAAAATCTTTTAAAACTGCCTTTATGTTTAAGATCACTTAGTTTGCAATGAGATACTTAAAATGTCTAATCAGAATATTCCTTAAGTTAGATTAAGGTATAGGCGTCCACAAAAGATTGACCAAGTGCAGTGTTTTATAGCCAAATCAGTTTTGTAATCAACTTTATGTGCACAGTTTCTCCTTCAGAATGTAAAGAAACTTCCTGTTAAGGGCATCACTGTTACCAAAGAAGGGAGCATGTGTTCTTTGGGAAGTGACTAATGATAACAGCAAGTTTCAAGTAAAATAAGGCTACTTCACCAATAACACACACACACACACACACACACACACACACTTAAAACTTACACCATGCAAACAAGGTCATGCATGCCCGGTTATTTATTTTTTTTTTAAAGCTAGCGGTTTTGTAATTTGTCCCCACTGATGTACTGCATCTCTGTACCTCTAAATCCTCTATTGTTTCTTGCCAAGCCACTTCCCTCCCTCCTTCCTCCATCTCCCCTTCTTTCCTAGAGGAATACTAATAGAATTTTGTTTCCTTTTAAATAAACGATGTCCCTGACCCTGCAGGTGTTCAAAGAGGAGCAGTATCTCAGCGACGCCTATCAGTGCGCTGACGTGATCTGGCAGCACGGGCTGCTGAAGAAGGGGTATGGGCTGTGCCATGGCACTGCGGGCAATGCCTACGCCTTCCTGGCACTGTACAACCTCACGCAGGATGCCAAGTACCTGTACAGGGCCTGCAAGGTAGGAGCCAGAGCCACAAAGGAAAGCTGAAGAAAGGTTCCTAGCTAATCTGATTTAATCCATTCATTTCTTAAATCATTTCTGGGGGGCACACATTATTAGAGAAAAACCTTCAGAACCATTCTGAAGTGAAATTATCTTCCTTTTAAACGAACATAATTCTATTCAGTAGCATTTCTGAGAGAAAAAGAAAGAAGGGTGGTTTCGTTCCTTCCTTTCTCCTATGTTAACCTTGGAGATGTACGGCTCAGATAGCTCATTAAGTTCCCTTCATGTTTCATATTCTTCCAGGCCATGCATTTCTCTGCATTAACTCTTTTCCCTGCCTTGAAGATAGTGTTTTACTTTTTAGAATAATTCCTATGGACAGCGTCTATCAACTGGAGGGGGTCTCTGGAAGAAATCACAGCAGTAATTTAACTCCGTCTCATTTTCAGTTTGCCGAGTGGTGCTTAGATTACGGAGACCATGGATGCAGGACGCCGGACACTCCCTTCTCCCTCTTTGAAGGTATTTTCCCACGTGACTCACTTGCCTTACGATTTCCACGTCCACTGCTCTGCTTGTTACTTAATGTATTTAAATCGGAGTTTTATCAACAAGATAACTTTATAATCATCTCTTAAACTACTTCCTTATTTCCTAGTATACCAGCTCAGTATTAAAAATCAGTGAGCAGTGGACTAGCACAGACCTCACACTAATAGCCATAATGGTGACTACCATTATGGAGCCAGGCATGAGCTAGGCATTATATTGATGTCATAATTCTCAGCAAAAGGATACAGACATTATCCTCACGTCACAGGTGTGAGGACAGGTAGGTGATGCTCTTTGCTCACATAGCAAGTGGCAGGGCTGTGCCTTGAACTTGTCTGGCTCCACCCCCGCTCCTGTCTTCCACTGGATGAAGAGGCTGAACACCTCACTGCTGATCTCCTCTGATATTGAACTGCAAGGAATGTAAATATAGACAGATGCCCACCTCATTTCAATCATTGCCATTAATATCGTAATATTGGTGCTGCAAAATGAAGCCACTCTCTGAAATGGAGTCATTCGGTGTATTAACTTTTCCCCTCTCTCTCCCTCAGGAATGGCTGGGACCATCTACTTCCTGGCTGACCTCCTTGTGCCCGCCAAAGCCCGGTTTCCTGCATTTGAGCTCTAAAAGGACAACCTGCCCGCAACTCATGCATGACCCTTTCTGTGTATCAGACCTGAGCTACATGCTATCAGTGCTTTCCAATGAAACAGTCAAACTGTACTTGGTTTAGATTTTTTCCCCCCAGAATTTGTCTTTAGTTCACTTCCCTTTTATACCGTTTATTTTTATTTTGAAATATCCAAGGAAGTCCTTTAACTTTAATTTCACTTTTTTCCAAAAAAGAAGCTGGGTGATATGTACAATATTTTGAGGGCATATATGTATATATATTTTATAACTTGGAGGAAGTCTTGCTCTTATTTAAGCTTATGAGTATAATTGTCTGTTACTGTTCTAAAAATGGTTAAGAGAAATGAATGTAGATAACAGGTAAATATATGGTTATTGTTAGACATTGCCCTCTACCTCTGCTCTTTAGTATTTTTTCTCCAACAGGACAGTTTATGACTTTGCTTTTCTCTGTGTGGCTGATTATGAAAGGGAACAAAAATATCACTCTGTGCTTCCAGGACAAAAACTGCAGGTGTTGAAAACTGCTCTCGCGACCTACATGCCATTTTTTAAATTCCCAATGCTTATTTAAACTCGAGGTCAGCAGACTTTGCCATGGGCCCCTTTTGGTTAGGAAAGCATCCAGGTTCCAGTCGTGAAAATTCTGCTTTGAAGGTTAGTTCTAGATAAGCTGATAAGAGTTTATTGTGTGTTGTTTTTCTAAAATAAGCTAGAGCAGTTTGTAACTACTTAAATTTGCTTGTTCTTTAGAATTAGTATAAGATCAGGAAACCAGTGTTCAGGCTGTGAATATGTCGTAGCTGAGGACTTGAGTCCACCCTGTCCCATTGGCCTTCCAAACTTTGGCTTGTGTGTCACTTGCTTGGCAGTGACTTTGCTCTCGTGCTGGCTGATGTGAGCCACGTTTCCCTCCTAGCAACCTATCTGGACGTAGGTCTTTTCACTAAGTATTAAAACAGTCTAATTCTATTTAGAAGGAGGGAGTGGTGCTGTATGTATAGCCATTAGTTTGAAAAAAACAAAACACTAAGCTTCTGATATAAATCCAGTGATCATGCTTAGAACAAATGGATCCTGCCTTTTTGCATATGTTAGGCTTTACATTCATCAATTTCTGAGCCCTCGGAGGTATTTATATAGTAGATGCAGAATCCCTGGTGTTTCATGTCTACAAATGTTTTGACTCATCAGCTTCTCCTCCTCCTTCCATTGCTGCTTTTCTTAAGCTTGTCTTATTTGCTCAATGTTTTGACTAATTTTAGAACATTTTGCAACTTAAAAAAAAACAGGGTCTAAAATTTTTTAATGTGCCTATCTCACAGTTTTCTCAGTCATAAAAACATGCTATTTCTTATTGGAAGTTTGAGTCAAAACCCCAATGAGTGTGTTGATTCCTGCAGCCCCCTATTGTTTTCCATGAAGCATCAAAATAGCTAATATTATTGGAAATTTTCTAAGCTTTAAACAGGGGTGGGGAACCTTTTTTCTGCCAAAGGCCATTTGATATTTGTAACATCATTTGCTGGCCATAAAGAATTATCAACTTAAAAATTAGACTGCTATATTTGGTCACACATTTTATTAACTCACCCCTAATGCCTTGGCAGGGCCAGACCAAATGATATCGCAGGCCATACATGGGCCAGACGTTCCGCACCCCTGCTTTAAAGGCAGATGGCGACAGGATCTAAACCACAGCCCACTCAAGTCCTAGGATTCACTTGTCCTCTGTGACTTGTGCTATTCGGGGACAGCCTCGTGCCTCCTGCGTTTCTCAAGTGCTGCTGAGAGCCATGTGCAAGCTCTGCCTTCCCAGGAGTGGTTCAGCGGTGGAGTCAGCATCCACGGGAAAGCTCATTTGCTTCAGCAGGTGTCTAGCTGGAAGGAACAAAACCCACTTGGTTTAGTGAACTATCTTAATCTACTGTGCCTGTACTTTTAGCAATTACAGTTACTAACTAAAGGAACAAGAACAAAACACAATTTCTCCTAGCAGAGACTTGATCACAGTGCTTCTCCAAACATCTTAGTCAATTTAAATTAATCAATTTAACCCCAGGAAGACTTCAAGGCAAGGAAAAGAATGTTTTGAATAAGATTCTTATTAATATTTGAATTATAATCTGGCTACTGTCATCCATTATCAAATTCATCAATAGAAACACAATTCAGGTACCCTTTTTTTTTTTCTTTTTAGGACTTACAAAACTGGCAGGACTTTATGTTTGTATCGTCGTTTTTAATTTTTATGCATAAGAGCTGAGACAGTTTGATAGGATTTTAACTTCAGCAAAGGCTATAAACTAAGACCATGGTAGAAATTGAAAGAAATTTTACACTAGCTTTCTTAGTTTTAAAAGGAAGAGTCATCATTTCAGTTGTATTTCTGTTGTATCATTTTTCATACATCTATTTTTCTTTTTGGTCAAAAATGAAAAAAAAAACAAAAACAAAAAAACCTTCCCAAAACTTGCCTCCCGGAAAACCCAATAGTGTGCCTCGTCTCCATGAAAAGACTGGGTGTATAGCCAGGACAGCGTGCCGCACAGCGTTCATTCGGCCTGCCTGTGTTTGTTCCTGTAGCGATGAAAATGGCAGTAGTTAACTTTTCATCATGGAAAAAATGCTAACATTATCATAACTATCTTCATCAGTCCCATTGGGCTTTGGTCTCCTCCAGGTTGTCTGTCTCTAATCCTTAGAGTCATTCGGCTCCCTTTTCATCTCTGATGTCAGTTCCAATTATTTGGCATCAAAAGCCTTCATGGTAGTTAGAGCATTGGGTAAAAATGGATCGAAGGCTCTTTTCTCTCCTTGTTGCTGCTTTCTCTTGTAGCTCTATGGATGGAGATCCTTTGCTCCCAAGTCCTCAGGCTAATTTGTGTCTAGTCTTGTGATGCCCTGCTTTCTACTAGCTGACTTTTAAATATAACATGTTCATCTACAATATTTCTTTGTAGTCCTCTGTTACTCATACTGAATTAATTCCACTTCTGCTCCCCCTAAATAGGTCAAAGCACGCCTTTCTATATTGCTAAGCTGTAGAACTGTTCCCCCCCCCTCCCTCCTTATAGGTATAAAACTGTTTGGGATATTCAGGGGACCCACCCAATGTTGCATTGCCATTTATTGGGAAGGGCTGGGATCATATGTATATCTATGTTCTGTAAAGGATTTGACTTACTGGTTCTCAATAAAATTTTATTAGGACTATATATCGTCTTGAACTTTTTGTTTGATTTGGTTTCTACATAAGAATATTGACCTTCGATGGTAAATGATAGCTTTTTCTCTATACTCTCACCCCCTGCAGTTTCTTCCTGACTTTTTCTTCATTGTTGGGTGAAACAAGATTGGCAGTACTTTCTGAAAATAGAAATGTATTAGAGGAAAATATTTTTAAATCTGATCATTATAGAATTAGGAATCAACTTGCTTCAAGCAGAGCAGTTCATTATACATATGAGAATCCACCCTGTGGCTAATAACTAAAGGCATAATTCTAGAAATTGATTTCCTTGATGACAGCTCTAAAAGGAACTTGGAATAGAGATGATTACTTGAGGCATAATTATAAACTGTCTGTGCAGAGGATGGAAAGGAAGGAGTTCTGCTGAATCACCTGGCATATCTTGTCCCACTTATTTTCATGACACAGCCCTGCAGTGTCACTTAGCACAACAGAGACCTGCCAGATTATACGATACCTGTTTTCATCCCTGAATGAGGTTTTGTCATCTGGTGCATATGATTAAAAGGCCCTTCATACACCCCTGGTCTATTGTCTGAATGACTCATAATACTAAGGATAAATGCACATTTTTATTTCCCTTTGATTGGATGAAGGTACAGAAGGCAGAGTCACATCTTTGATGTGGGCAGTGAGGCGTGGAGAGGACAGCCTCAGAGAGGCCACCCAGAGATTCCTCAAGTGGTGCCTGGAGCATCCCCGCTAACTCCACAGGATTACACCTCAGTTGGGAAGGCCAGCCAGCACTGCTCTCTGGCTCACTGTGCCCTGGCTCCTCTTCCCACACAAGAAAAATGGCAAACAAAACCTAAAGGAGTAATTTGTCCCCGGCTTCTTAGCAATGGTTTTCTAACTTTGCTTTAGAAAGGCCTTCTTCCTTCTCATACTCTCTGAATATAATAATAATATTTGTGTCATTTCTACTTCCCTGGATATTTGCCGCTGTGGAGTCCGTGTTATCAAACGTCTCATGAGTTCTTTGCTCTCATAAGCATCATTTAAACAGAAAATCCTAACAGTCAATCCCCTGATAATTGGCTTTCTCATTGTTTCTCATCCACATTCGCTGTCTTCCTTTTAAAGCTGAGGCCAATAAAGTGAGAGAACCTTGGCTTTTTACAAGGGAGAACACGTTGGCTTCATCAGACTCATTATGTAAACTATTGAAACGTTATTTTCCAGAAGCCCCGTGCTGGTGCATCCTTGGGGTCTTATTTGACAATTTTGTGAGTAATGGGAGAGAGCGGCAAACACAATAAACCAGGAGGCAAAATAACGAGAATAGACAAATGTGTCTTAGCAGGACCACTGCTCAGAGTCAGCCAGTTTGATTTCACATTCCTATATTACGTTAACTTTCCGTCCACATGCAAACTACCATCCCGATGACATTAACTCTGCAGCTAATGTTCTATCACTCTACCAATAAGTATTAGAGACGGCACCTAGGAGGTACACAGTCATTATGCAGGGAAGGCACGATTGTTGATAGAAACCTTCGTAAAGGAGGGTCACAGTTGCCTCATTTCTCTGATGGAGCTGGGATACTGAGAAAGGCATCTGTCACCCCAAAATACTGATGTGGCTCATTGTGGAAGTTCATGGTTCCTATTGATCTCTCAGGATTCCACATTCAGGAATTAACACACACGCCTGCTGATAATCATCCAAACTGCTGGCAGTCTGTGTAAATGGCTGGAAACATGCCTTTGTATCTAATGGTGCCATGAGCAATGCTTAAAAACCACTGTGTCCCCAAAATTCACTGAACACACGCAGGTTTGTATGCAAGGTACCTGGTGGGCTTGGGGGGCCACTGTGTGTGTGAGATAGGCGTCCCTAGTCTGACAGCTTACAGTCTGGCAAAGAAGACAAGTGATAGATGATCAATTGCAATAAGATATATTCTAATATTCCCACTACCTCCCCATACACACACTTTTCTTTGTTCCACCAGTTTCCAGAATGCCCAGGTCTCTCATGTGATCTGTGGTTTCTAGCTAAATTTAGCGATATTGATGTAGAGATATTGGAGTTTATAATCCAGTAGGGAAAAGACACTTTAATAAAAGCCACTCAGCCAGACCAGAAGCACTTGGAGTTTTTGTGTTTGGACCACCTTAAAGGTGGGCGAAGTGGAAAGAAATCTGAAGACTAAAGACCACTTACTCCCAAAATCATTCCCACTCAGTCCGTCAACTTCCCAGCATCCCCTTTATTAATAGTTTACATTAAATTCATTTCCTTTAGAAGTCCTGTTAAAATGCAAATATTTTTAAAGAGCTGGCTCATCAACCTGCTAGTCATTAGCACCTTAATAACTGGTTCATGACCTACATAGCAATTTACTTGAAACACTTCAACCCAAACAGTGTTAACTATGCTGCTAGAATATGCTAAGTACAGCATCTAGTTAGAATTAGGAAAAGGTAATACCTGCTCACAAAAGACTGTTTACATCTAGAGAGAAATATAAACAGGTAATTTCGATGTCATATGGAACCTCACCAGGACTGGCTTTGGGTAAGTAATGGAAGGAGAAAGAAGTATGTGTGTGTGTGTGTGTGTGTGTGTGTGTGTGAGAGAGAGAGAGAGAGAGAGAGAGAGAGAGAGAGAGAGAGAGAGAGAAAGGCAAGGCAGGGCCTTGTGAAAATGATTCTAAAATGCCAGTCCAATGGGGCCTGAGATTCCACATTCCCAACAAACTCCCAGATGATTCTAGGCTGCTGTCCTCAGAGCTTCCTTTGAGTAGGAGGACTAGATAATCAAGCCAGAATGGGATCCTGACTCGGTAGAGAAGAAAGGGAAGTAGAGAGGAAGGGAGAGAGGGAGGGAGGGAGGAAGGGAGGGAGGGAGGGAGGGAGGGTTGGAATCAGCTGATAAAGTCTAGAGACTTGATTGATGAATATGAATCACTAGGAGCAAGAGCATGACAGCACTGTAAAGACTAGTGTCTGATTTCTGATAGGGACACAATGTCAAGGCAATATGGTCTTGAGGTGACCAACTTTCTGTGGTGGTGATTGTAGCAAGTGAGAGAAATGAACTTGGAATAAATACCCTAATATATAAAAAGCCAGTGGCCATCACGACCGAAAAACAGACAACTGAACACAGGCTGCATGGGGCAACAAGGCCAGCAGGGGGCAGGTGGGAGCAACTAGGCCAGCATAGGGGGGCAGTTAGAGGCCATCAGGCTGGCAGGGGGGTCAGTTAGAGGCAATCAAGCAGGCAGGCAGGTGAGCAGTTAGGAGCCACTGGTCTGAGATTGTGAGAGGGATGTTGGACTGCCAGGCCTAAACCGGATTAGAGTTCTGGATTGGAGAGGGTGCAGGCTGGGCTGAGGGAACCGCCCCCCCCCCACCATGCACGAATTTTATGCACCAGACCGCTAGTGTATTTATAATTTTAATGGGGGAATAGCCAAGGATTTAGAACTTTTCTCAATTTGAAGACTCATAAGCTTCTTATAACATGAGAATCATATGAATGAGAGCTATACTAAAGAATTAATTTGAGCCAAAACCAGTTTGGCTCAGTGGATAGAGCATTAGCCTGCAGACTGAAAGGTCCCAGGTTCGATTCCAGTACAGGGCATAAATCTTGGTTGCAGGCACATCCCCAGTAGGTGTGCAAGAGGCAGCTGATCGATGTTTCTCTCTCATTGATGTTTCTGGCCCTCTATCTCTCTCCCTCTCTGTAAAAAATCAATAAAACATATTTTTAAAAAAAGAATTAATTTGAATCATCTGGAATCAAGGCTTGCATGAGGAAAATTAGATCCCACTGCCCCCTGTTTAGAATTTATGAGACATTATTAGCCAACCAACTTCTTAAAGGTTTTGTTAAAACTCAAAAGCAGATCAATCTTATTCCTTTTTCCAATATTTTCTTAGCATGTTCCGAGTAGTAAATGTACACTAGCAGTCTCATTTTTTTTTTCCTATTTTGCCATTATCTATTTGCCATGTCTCCTAAATGAGAATTTCATAAAGTGATACAGGTCTGCAGTACCTCAGAGGTCATTTAGCCAGCAACACTTCAGTGCTTAAGAACAGGGCTGACCCAGGAAGCCTGAAACTTCATTTCAAACAGGAAAACCCATTAGTTCTCCTCAACTGAAAGGCTGCTACAAGTGAGTGTGTTCCCACTCCTGCTCACATACTCATATGCCCGGGGAGCCCTGTACTGGGAATCGATCCACGCTTAGATGACTCAAATAGCCAATGAATTTTCTTCCACTTTTAACGCTGAATACATAGCATGTGCTAGTTTATATTTTACAAGCTCTCACCTGCCCAGTTAAAAATTGGGTTGCATCCATATTTTATTAAAATATATTAAAAGACTATCTTGTAGTTCTGGCTTTGATGGCCTTTTCTATTTCCTTTAAAAAAAATAAATAAAAAAATAAAAAGTCCGTATTAGCCTGCAAATTGCCCCTTCAACAGAACTTCCTAATTCAGCCAATGGTGCCACTGACTACCTGGGTGCTCAAGCCAAAACAGGCGAATTAACATGCAAAGCCTGTTGGTTCTCAAAGTGAAGTTTCTGGAGAAGCCACTTTCATTAGCATTACGTAGAACTTGTTAGAAATGCAAAATCTAGGGCCCACTCAAGACCTACGGAGTCAGAAACTCTGCCCATGGAGCCACCAATCTGCCTTAACAGTCCTTCCCGTGACTCGGGTAACGGGCACGCCTGAGAGCCACTAACTTTAAAAACAGTGAGGTTAAAAAGTAATAATAAAATAAAAATAGTGAGGTTAATAGGGTGGGGCAATTGTTCCTGCCTGGAGGCTAATTGCTGCTCTCAGTCTATGTAAAGGGCAGGGTGTTTTCCGACAGAGTGGGCCAGCTGTCGTCCCCCCAGGCAGTGCAGCCTGCATAGCAATTGTCTAAGTGAGAAGACCACCTTCTCAGCTTGAGGGAATGGTTCAGCACAGGAAACCAGGAAACACGGTGT